ACCAAGCTAACGTAAAGAATGTAGGTACGAAGAAGGTCCTGTTTAACATATCCTATTCAGTTCGTCTAGCTAGTGAAGGAAGGAGACCTGGAGTGTTGTTTGTCTCGAAAATCACATGAATTTTTCAAGTAGTGGTCTGTCCCGTCCCACACCCTCCAGCGGCCCCATTGTATGCACCAATGAATCCTTAACAGGTATGATTAAAAAGGCTACCTTAGGTGTGAAAAGGGCAGAAAGATGAATGTATATTTCATTCAATTCGTCTTTTCCAAAATCTATATATATCTTGAAACTTACACTTGTTAAAATATAAGAAATCAGCAATAATAAATAAGTTGCACAATTAACACAGCACGCAATTTAAGACACATGAAAATACTTACTAAAGTAGGACAAATATTTCTTCCTGGTTCAGGGTATCCCTAAAAAACGTTAAATATAAATTTAGTAAAACTCATTTTATATTGAATATCAAATCAATGCAATTTTCAGTTCATATACAGTATTTATGTGTTTTATTTATTGATTTTATGTTTTATTTTTTATTATCAGGGCATTTAATTGTATTATTTTTATCTTAAATTATGCTTTTTAAGCTTATTGTTTAAGGTCTAGGAATGAGTTAACTCAGTTTCTATTATTTCTAATAAGAAAAATTAATTCATAGTTCGAACGGCCTCCTGAAATGAATTAAATTCGAAATACGAGACACCACTATAATGTTTATTTAATTGTGAAATCATTATTTTCTATCCAGTATATGTTATAATTAAATGAAAAAAGAAAATGTTATCTAATGAAAATAAATTAAGTTGAATGTTAAGTACACATGCAGGGCTGGATTCAAACATGTTATTGTTGTACTGTATGACATAACAGAACTTACTACCCGAATATGCAAAAATGCCAGGCCTTAAGCTATAGCCTAATAACGAGAGCAGCAGCTTGTATTCAATTCTAGGTCTGTACAGATAAATGAAGTGTACTGTACATGAAATGGTGCAATTAACAACAGGTATAATTCTTAAAATTCGATTTAAAAAACTCCTTTTAAATAATTATGGTTTGTTTTCGACTCGTAATATTAGAACAAGTGCACTTGTTTACTCTCTAATAACAGTGGAAACTCGATAATCCGAACTCAATGGGTCTTTTCGATAAAATAAATTCGGCATAATCCAGAAAATGGTTTGTTTTGTGTTTTGGGCACATTAAGCGCTATACATTTAAAGTTTCATGATGTATAATACTGTAATGCAATTACTGTATTTGAAAATAAATTAATTTACTTAAAATCTAACGTAATGTTACTTACATATGACCTAGTTTCGTAGTTTTATATAGTTACGTAGTTTGTTCTCTGTGTAATTATAGTCTAAGGTATGTACTGTACAATACAATGCTACGATAATATAATTTTTAGAATTTTTACTTGCTTATTTTTTAGTTGAAGTGAAGCGTGTAAGAAGTTACTACTTAAATATATGTTATTACTAATAATAAATAATGATAACATTCTAAATAACTCAATACGGGTAGCAAATTTTATCACAATTTAGATTAATATTTCGATTTAGATGTATAACTATACACTAAGATATAAACAAAAAAAAAAATATTATAGAATAATAATAGGTATGTCTATTTACCGTAAAACCTCCACCTCCAGGGGTTGGCTATAAATATAATAAAGATTAAATTAATAAATTAAAGTATAGTAGACGAAATAAAAAGTATATAATTACTATATATATAATTCTGCAATGAGTTGCATAACTTATTATATTATTTACTTATTATATATCTTTGGATAGATAAATATCTCAAAAATATACGGTAATTTCTAATGTAAACAACTTAATATATGAAAAATGGTACTTACCATGGGACGTCTATCATAGGGTATACCAAATCCCTAAAAATAGTTTAATATTAATAGATACATAGTACAGATTTATTAAAACTGCGTGTTTATAATTAAATTTTTATACTATATTATACCTAAATAATTATATTTTTAATTTATTTAATTTAAGGAATGTGCTCTCCATCTCAAATTCGTAGTGTCTTGCTCCTGTTCATCATACTTTCCTGATATCAACAGAGTGATGCCACTTATGTAACTCTGTTCTGGTTAAAACATTGAAATGGAAATCATGAGACTTCCGAAGGTTTATACAAGGTGCGTCTGAAAAGTTCGGTGAATGGTCCCATAGTTGAATAACCGTGCTGGTTAGGATGTTGCGCTCACGCAGAAGTAGTTAGAGACTTGCCAACTAGTGGCCCCTAACATGGAAATCGAGACAGCTAAACGGAAGTGCGCGCAACAAACAATGCAACACAGTCAGTATGAGAAGGAGTGTCACTGCGAAATGGAGCAAAGCGTGAACATCAAGTTTTGCTTCAAATTAGGCAAAACGGCTACAGAGACACATGAAATGTTAGTGAAAGTGTATGGTGTGAAAGCAGTGAGTAAAAAGTGTGTTTTTGAATGGTTTAAACGCTCTGGTCGACCGTCAACAAGCACAACTCCAGACAACATCGAATGAGTGCGATGGATGCTTGCGGATGATCGGCGCATATTAAGAGCTCACACTGTCCTTGTTTATCTTCAAATCTTCTGCTATCATTCCCAAAGACAGGCGCTGATCATCCGCAAGCATCCGTCGCACTCATTCGATGTTGTCTGGAGTTGTGCTTGTTGACGGTCGACCAGAGCGTTTAAACCATTTAAAAACACACTTTTTACTTACTGCTTTCACACCATACACTTTCACTAACATTTCATGCGTCTCCGTCGCCGTTTTGCCTAATTTGAAGCAAAACTTGGTGTTCATGCGTTGCTCCATTTCGCAGTGACACTCCTTCTCACTGACAAACAATTCAACACTGGCTGTGTTGCATTGTTTGTTGCGCGCACTTCCGTTTAACTGTTTTGATTTCGATGTTAGAGGCCACTAGTTGGCAAGTCTCTCACTGCGTGAGCGCAACATCCTAACCAGCACGGTTATTCAACTATGGGACCATTCATCGAACTTTTCAGACGCACCTTGTATATAATTAATCTGGACCTCTTGCCTTGAATATCTCTGTATCTTGTCTTGATATTCATCCATCTAATACCCATTCTAGAGATTAGAAAAGACAGACAGACAGATAAGAGTGGAAATTTATATTTATCATTTTACGAATATTTTTAATTTCTGTGCACTGAACACGAAAATAAAGTTAAAATTTTTCACGTAAGGTTTTCGAGTTGTGATCTTATAGATGAGGAACTTAATGTTAAAATACAGATATTTGGAGACTCAAAAGTTATACGGCTGTTACTGGGATTTCAGGGTAGTTCTACCAAATATTGTTTGTTTTCTTTGTCTTTGGTAGAAACGAAAAATGATTTTATGGCCTCAGAGAGATGAATTTGTTCCAGACCAAGCTAACGTAAAGAATATATCTCTAATTAATCCCCAAAAAAAGTCTTGTTACCCCATTGCATATAAAACTTGAATTAATAAAAACCTTCGTCAAAGCACTAGCTAAAGAAGGAATTGCTTTATCAAAACTATAGTAAAATGAGTTTTGAAATGTCTCTTAAACTACTTTTTACATTCGCATTGAAATTTTTCCCCAAAAATTTTAGTGTCATCAGTGATGAATGAGCATGGGGTTCCACTAAAATATCCAAACAATGAAACAATAGTATCAAAACAGGTGAGATCCTAAAATGATGAGAGACTATTGCTGGTTCCTTTTGGGAGAAAGTAAAATGAAAATAAGCATTTGCAAAAAAGTAAAAAAGTAATTGGTCTGCAATTTGAAAAAATTGTAAACTTATAAATTCCCACTGTCTTTCCTTAATCTCGAGAACGGAGTTAGGTGAAATTCGAGACCAGATGTGGAAAGATTGGGGTAGGAGGCCCCGATTAACTATATATGAACTTCCGATTCAAATCGAAAATCATGTTATTTCAATTTAAAATTTTCCCCTGAAAAAAGTTAGATATATCACCGGCATGACTCTGATAACAAGGAAAGTATGATGTACTGTACATGGGCTTGCTAACAAAAATAATATGAAAGCTTATATAGGGGCAAGACACTACTAATTTGAGGTGAAGAACAAACCGATATATTTTAAATTAAAATAAATTAAAAGTATGATTGTCATATTCGTGAAAAGTGTGCTTTATAGACCCCTATAAATCCACTTTAATACCCACTTTCAGTCGCATTAATTTTTTTATTTGTTGAGTAGTGTAATCAAGGTTACCAAGTTGGCAATTCCTACTAAATTTGGTAGGAAATTTCGAGGGACAGTCTTATACAGTGTTGTGTTATAAATTACTGTACCTTTTTGAGGAAAGATAAAGAGAATAACAATATTCAATATGGTGCTTAAATTCGGCCGGGATATCGTGTAACATTTAGCTGAAAGGTATTCAAATTTAATAGGAAATGGAGTTTGAACTTGGTTGGAAAGCTTGTCTACGACAAGAGAACAATGCCGGTAATACTCTAATTCGTTACTGCCGGATTACTGAGCGTTTCGAATTAGCCAACTGCCGGATTACCGAAAAGTGCACTATTCATAACAAATATTTCGCGTAAAATAAAGGATAGAAAATTTTCAGTATTCGTTATAATCGTCAAACATAAAAAAATTCAATAAATATTTACACATAAATATTAATTAAGGATATTTTTTTACCGAAAATTAAAATAATTTTAAAAAGTATTTACCGAAGGGCGACTTCCGGAATACCATCCATCCCCGTACCCCTAAGAATTAAAATGATGCAAAAAAATTATATTATCAAATTACAACGAAAGAAATATTTCGTGAAATATTACTCTCGAACGAAAAACATAACGTAAAAATTACGATTTGTTCTTATTAGTGAAGTGTTAATAGTAATTACTTCTTAATTTTATATGTTGTGTATTGAGTTAATAGAGTTATCTTACTCCATTAATTCAATACACAACATCTAAAATTTTGCAATACAAAGATTTGTCACCCGAGAAAACTTTACAGAAACTTGTCCCTTATTTACGTGTTAGGCACGTGAAGAAGACTCGAAAAATTCCACGTGCCAGCCCGTTGGAGAGGCATGAACACGCGACCTAACTACCAATACCGAGTGTTTTTAGACACTAAGGATATCCTTTAGGAAGAATTTTTATCTGTTAAATTTTGAACGAAAAAAATTCATTTTTATTTACTCACACTCCTTTCGAAGTTCGTGCCTATAATGAAAACATATAACACTATAAAAATCTGACAAACTATAATAAAATTATAAAACATAATTCTGAAATATTAACAATTATAAAACACTGAAATCCATTTTAAATAACTCATTGTGTTTAGTGATATTTATATTAATATATTAAACTATTCAAAATACTAACCGTGAATAATGCAGATGGCAGGTAGGACCAGTAACACAGTGTATTGCATCTTCAAATATATATACAATAAACGAGATAAGGAAGTGAAATAAAGGAATATTAGCAGAAATTACGTAGCGAATTTACAAAAAAAAATCCTTTTATTTTATTGGATAATAATTAAATATAACATTACTTCCTCAATCTTGTTTGATGAACCTGCTCAACGGAATCGAATAAAATTAACTACCAGTCGACCCCCCTATAACACTATTGATTATTCCGTTTTATATGAATTCCATGTTGTGCGAGTCACTTAGATTTTACAAATACATGTGCCGGGCTGTGAACGGCTCACATATTTGTAAAATCTAAGTGACTCGTACAACATGGAATTCATATAAAACAGAATAATCAACAGTGTNTAAAGCAATCATTCCATCATAAATTTAAGAAATTATATTACTTGAATTATTTTAATTTAATGTAAAGGGACTTACACTTAAACAGTAAAAGTTTTGAACGTAAACGTATTTTAATATTTTTCGTTATTACATACAAATTCTAAAACAAAGATGAGTATTTATGTATAAATCAGATTAATTTGTGTGAAAATTCCTTAGAGGTATAGAGATGCCTTCTGTCTGGCCTTTAACGTTAGGCCTTCTGGCCTTCTCATCAACATTAGTATTACGAGTATGTATTATAATAAAATATCTTTAAATCATATAAACGTAAAATTATGCTTAAAATAAATTGTATAATGAGCAAAAAAATATAATTACTTACTGGAAAAGGAAATCCTGGTCGCTATGAAAGGTTAAATATTTATTATATAATAATAATAATATACAGTCGACCCCCCTATAATACTGTTTATTATTCCCTCCACCATTTTCATAAGGACCACCGTTTCCTCCTTGAGGTCTATCATTTCCTCCATTTCCGTCAGGACCACCGTTCTCTCCTTGAGGTCTATCATTTCCGTAAGGACCTCCGTTTCCTCCTTGAGGTCTACCATTTCCTCCATTTCCGTCAGGACCTCCGTTTGTTTCAGTTAAGACAGTTGGATACACAGCAGGTGATAAAATAAAACACACAGTTTCCTATTAGTTTAGTAGTTGTGATAAAATTAAAAATGAGGTAAAAAGTAAAAAGTATTTTCTTGAAATGAAATGTGTAAGATATTTCTTCAAGGAAAATTGATTTAAATTTGTTATTTGTATTATTTCAATTAAAGTTTAAATTAATCCCTTTCCCTTTACAGTCGACCATTTTGTGTAGGACATAGGGCCGTAATCTGTAGGTTGTTATATCAGTGTTTTAAGGTGTGTGAGTGTTATATAAGGTGTTAACGTTTCAGTTTAGATCTAAATCTAAGTCAGATTAGGAATTAATTGTCCTTCAAATTCAGATAAATATACAACTCTGTGTTGGGGATTAAATAAGTCTTTCTTGATTAGTTGCAAGTAAACAAGTACGTGCGTAGAAAATGGCGGAAATACGAATAGAAAGCAGCGTATTTCGTAATTTTAACACCTTCGGAAAGTAGTATTACTGGAATTGTTTTAAGATAATATTAGAAAATAAAAAGACAAATGCTACTTTTTCCAAACTGAAGAGATATCTGCATAGTAGGCAAAGAGTATAATGGTATTTAAGGTGTCACGCCAAACAAAACAATTGAAGGATTGTTATAAAAATCTAAAAAAAGCACAAAAAAAATTGTCTTTGTTTAAACAGTTGGATGGAAACTATCGATATCGACGGAAACGGATGGATTGGGAGAAAAATTACTTTCTACAGGAGTCTAAAACAGCCCTTAGAAAATAACTTAGATATAACGAGTAATTATCTATTGTGCCATCGTTACAATGCCGGAATTTTAATCATATTTTTAATTTTTTTAACATAAAATATATGCTCTCTGCCTCAAATTAGTAGTGGCTCGCCCCTGTATATCATACTTTTCCTGTTAGCAAAGAAGTTTGTACTGTATATAGTTAATCGGGCATCCTTCGGGCAAGAGAATACATTGAGAGTGTCAATGTATTCCAGCATGTGTTTGTTTCTAGCGCTAAATATGTTTTAATATTTTGTAATATTTTCCTAATTTCTTTCATTAAGTTTGGTGTTATATTGTTTTTAATGTATTATGCTAACCTTCTAAGTTGTCTAATTTTGTTTATTTATTTCTAGACTTAGACAGGCTTATGATTTGCCTGTGTTTTAAATGCTCTCTGTTTGTGATTATAATTTACGGACTTGGTACGAAGTACAGTGAGTACATCAAAATAAATTAATGAATATATATCCGAAAGTGTTCATTCTGATTAAATATATTTTGGTAATATTTGTTTATTTGAATAGTGTAAGATTTCTATCTTGTATATTCAGTGAGTTTTCTCGAAATAAATCTGTGAACATGTTAGTTAATACTGTGTTTATTTGTTTTATTTGTGTACGTCTTCTTGAGTGTTGTAACAGAATTGCTGGATAAGCAGTTTGGCTCAGATAGTGTGTTTATAGGCTAGTGCTGGGTTCTCCACAGGTTGTCAAGGATAGACATGGTTAAGACATTTATAAAACACCTCAAAGCTGTCCACTTTTCTTTTTTTTTCTTTCTATGATCTTTACTAGCATGTATGGTCTCCTGGAAACCTATGCTTTTGCCATCATTTCTCTACGGTTCATTGTATCTACTGAGCTTTCTCACAACTCGACATGGGAGTAACTAGCGAGAAACATATTATCATTATTTACTATGCTAAAGATTTTTCTTGTGTCTTGTTGTGTTTAAACCAATGACGATTTATTGATAGTTAGTTGTATATAAATGAATTATTGTATTACAGAATTGTACACATTTGCAATACAAGAATAACATAATAAAGTAAAATTTACGTTTATAATAAAGGGGTCATACAAGAGAAAGAGTCATACTGTGAAGAGAAGAGCAGAGAGAGAGAGAATAGAAAAGTTTACATTAAACGTTTTATACACTAGACATTACCAATTTAATTGCACGCGATATTAGTTACACTGGTATAATAACACAGGCATACAGAATTAATTATTGATTTTATTTTCTAGTTATATACTGTATAATACATTCATTATAAATTAATACTTCATGTTTATAACAATGCCTACATTCTTCTGTAGTTGTTGTTTTCATAATTTCAAAATTCGAAGCACTTCTGAAATGTACCATAAACTATAATTAATAATTTAGTCGAATTATTTTAAAAATTTATAAAATAAATCGTAATTTCAAAAAGATTTCTGCTAGATTCTACTTGTTAGAATTTTGTTTTAGATTTATCTGACTACACCTGATCTATCTAGGGAAAAAAACCCATAAAAGTTAACACATAGACACATAGATTGCCGGATGTTCTTATAGCTTCCATTTTGTTTTCTTTTTTACTCTCTCCTCCCTATTGCACATACAGACCCTTTTCTCCATACTTATTATGGGTTCAGCCTGCCCACAAGTACGTATTTTCCTTAAACACTATTACCCTCAGGACATATCCTTCATATATATAAAAGGAAACATCTACCTAATTTTCTACCATTCTCTTCACATTCTCTGCCTTATAAAATAGTAAAACATTTTTAAAAGACAATAATTTCGATAAATTTAAATACAGTAGTATATTAAACGAGCAATGCTCTCAATTTTAGTAATTTCTTGCCCCTGCATATTATACTTTTCCTATTAACAATAAAGTCATACTGACATTATTTAACTTATGGAAAAATATTTGACCTATTCTGACCCTAACTCAGATATTAAAGAAGACGGACCGAATTAGAAAATTGCAGTCCCATAATAATTTAGCATAAATTTATACAGATTTAAACAAGTATCTCACTTCTATTTATACTCAATTAATTAAAAATTAACTTTAAATTATTATTTTAAAAAAATTACTGTAAATTGTAGACCATTTCCGTCAGTCGAAGCCTGTATAACAAATGACAAATCAATTATTATATATTGATTGAAAATAGTTTCAAAGTATATTTGTGTACAAATAAAATAAACGTTACATTGCCGGTTGGCTTGAATTATATTCTCTATTTTCACGTGGAACCTAAGTGAAATATACAAACAGTCAAAACAGATCTCTTGATGTACAGTATATTATTTAATATTTATATTTGAAAGTTGTATTTCTAAAACTAAAACGTCGATTATAGAAAAAATTTTCATTTACCTCTATTTTCTTTAGCGTATTTACTGTTTGTACTATTTCCTCCATTTTCGTAAGGACCACCATTTTCTCTATTTCCTTCGGGATTTTCATTTCTTTCGTGTGGGCCACCACTTCCTCCATTTTCGTGATAGCCAGTATTTCCATTGTTTTCGTTTGGACCATCATTTTCACCAGGACCGATATTTCCAGCATTTCCGTACGGACTACCGCCTCCACCATTTTCATAAGGACCATCGTTTCCTCCTTGAGGTCTATCATTTCCTCCATTTCCGTCAGGACCTCCGTTCTCTCCTTGAGGTCTATCATTTCCTCCACTTCCGTCAGGACCACCGTTCTCTCCTTGAGGTCTCATTTCCTCCATTTCCGTCAGGACCTCCGTTCTCTCCTTGAGGTCTATCATTTCCTCCATTTCCGTCAGGACCTCCGTTCTCTCCTTGAGATCTATCATTTCCTCCATTTCCGTCAAGACCACCGTTTCCTCCTTCAGGTCTATCATTTCCGTAAGGACTATCATTTCCTCCTTGAGGTCCACCATTTCCTCCATTTCCACCAAAACCTTCGTTTCCTCCTTGAGGTCTATCATTTCCTCCATTTTCGACAGGACCGTCGTTTCCTGCTTGAGGTCTATCATTTCCTCCATTTCCGTCAGGACCCCCGTTTCCTCCTTGAGGTCTATCATTTCCGTCAGGACCACCGTTCTCTCCTTGAGGTCTATCATTTCCGTAAGGACCACCGTTTCCTTCTTGAGGTCTACCATTTCCTCCATTTCCGTCAGGACCTCCGTTTCCTCCTTGAGGTCTATCATTTCCTCCATTTCCGTCAGGACCTCCGTTCTCTCCTTGAGATCTATCATTTCCTCCATTTCCGTCAAGACCACCGTTTCCTCCTTCAGGTCTATCATTTCCGTAAGGACTATCATTTCCTCCTTGAGGTCCACCATTTCCTCCATTTCCACCAAAACCTTCGTTTCCTCCTTGAGGTCTATCATTTCCTCCATTTTCGACAGGACCGTCGTTTCCTGCTTGAGGTCTATCATTTCCTCCATTTCCGTCAGGACCCCCGTTTCCTCCTTGAGGTCTATCATTTCCGTCAGGACCACCGTTCTCTCCTTGAGGTCTATCATTTCCGTAAGGACCACCGTTTCCTTCTTGAGGTCTACCATTTCCTCCATTTCCGTCAGGACCGCCGTTTCCTCCTTGAGGTCTATCATTTCCGTAAGGACAGCCGTTTCCTCCTGGAGGTCTACCATTTCCTCCATTTCCGTCAGGACCTCCGTTTCCTCCTTGAGGTCTACCATTTCCTCCATTTCCGTAAGGACAGCCGTTTCCTCCTGGAGGTCTACCATTTCCGTAAGGATTGCCGTTCCAACCATTTCCTCCATTTGCGAAAGGACCTCCATTCCATCCTTGAGGTCTACCATTTCCGAAAGGACCTCCGTTCCATCCTTGCGGTCCACCATTTCCTCCATTTTCTTGGGAGTGCTAGATAAATGCAAAAGTTTTAGAAAACGGTAAACAAACAACAATAGAAATGACTTTGTTTTTCACTATGAATACATAGAAGTTGAATGAAAGCAGATACTTTTAAATAGTGTAATGTATAGACAAGTCTCTACAGATAACACTCAGGTTATCTTGAATTTACCTTCATTTTGTTTATGCTGCATTACATTAAATTATATGTTATACTTCTAGTTTTGGATTAATATCTGCATTACCGCATGATTGACTCAAGAATTGTAAGTAATATTTTTATACAGTAGTGTCCCGACTTAGTGCTGACTGAGATGGTGGACGAGTTCCCAAACATGACGAGTTTTATGGAATTTCGAGTTATCGAGAATCGAGTTTTCGGAACTGTATTTCACTATAATTGCTTTTTATAGTAGAAAACAGTTCACTAATTTTAAATGTAAAATTAGTGAACTTTAAAGTAAAAAGATTTCATCACTTTTTAGCAAACAAAAAAACAATGTAATTTTTTAAATTGTTTCCACTATTCTTCATATATATATATATTCATAATTTTATTCTTGATATCAGAAATAGGCTACAATAGAATAGGATTGACGGAATAGGACAAGACAGCACTTGTGGGAGATCTGTCAATGGATTGCTTTCCGGGAAGACGTTCTATGGGAAACTTTCCCCTGTTCTGATGTTAGATACGTTAAGAAATTCCGGAAAATTCCACATAGCTAGTCTGTGGATAAAGTGATAACCCGGGACTAATTACAATAACCAATTGTTTAGTGGTTTCATACACTCGATCATCGTTGGATTGATATCAGGAAACTGAATAAGTCCAATTACGTGAACATAGCATTACTTATTCTTGATCCTCAACAGTTACATCATAACAGTCTTGAAAATAAAGAAAAATTTATTTTTTACTTTTTCTGTCCTATGGATACTAAAAGGATCTCTTTTCCATACCCATCGTGGGTTCAACCAGGCTCCACAATGGGCGGTCGGGTGATGAAGAAGAGGATTCGACGTATCGGAATAGATTACTAGAAAAAAATTAAGGTGTTGCTCACCCGGATTCCCTCTCTGAGTGTTTTGGAACAAGGATCAAATTGTAAAAGGATAAGGATCAAACTAAACAAATTACGGTAGAAATTCGCTAATTCGGCATCTACGGGACAAGATCAGTGCTAAATTATTGAACGTTCTTGTATTTTCATAAAATTTTATATGTAATTCGAATGGACCAGATATCCTTATACATTTTTTTTTACCAAAGCACTCTGCTGTCTATTCTTTAATTAGCCTGAAGATGGTGTAGTGCCTGATTGTACTCTATTGCGACTGATTGAAATCTCTGCAGAAATATTAATTAAGACGTTACTGCACAAAATCAACATTCACAATGATTATTGGGCATATAATATCATGTTACTTGCCATCTTTAATGCGTTTAAAATCAGAATATAAAGCACAGACTAAATAAAAAAAACAACTAGATCGCCATTAACATAAATGCTGTCTGAGTCTATTCAAAACTAATAACTCATTTAACTGTCTATTTTAATAATATGACATAAAACAATTATTTTCCAAGCATGTTTTGTTTTTTAATCCATGGTTTTCAGTTCACCATGCGCTAAAAAAATTTTTGACTACGGAATATAATGCATATTATTATCGTGTACTGTAGTTCCAGAGTATTGGTTACTTTTGAAAAAATGCCGGATTAACATACTTTTGATTAATTAAAGTTAGCCAGATAGCCTTGTTGTTTGATTCAGCCATATTGTGGACAAATAGTCATGGCCTATAGTACAGTAAATGATGCATTGCATTCATAAAGCAATCATTCCATCATAAATTTAAGAAATTATATTACTTGAATTATTTTAATTTAATGTAAAGGGACTTACACTTAAACAGTAAAAGTTTTGAACGTAAACGTATTTTAATATTTTTCGTTATTACATACAAATTCTAAAACAAAGATGAGTATTTATGTATAAATCAGATTAATTTGTGTGAAAATTCCTTAGAGGTATAGAGATGCCTTCTGTCTGGCCTTTAACGTTAGGCCTTCTGGCCTTCTCATCAACATTAGTATTACGAGTATGTATTATAATAAAATATCTTTAAATCATATAAACGTAAAATTATGCTTAAAATAAATTGTATAATGAGCAAAAAAATATAATTACTTACTGGAAAAGGAAATCCTGGTCGCTATGAAAGGTTAAATATTTATTATATAATAATAATAATATACAGTCGACCCCCCTATAATACTGTTTATTATTCCGTTTTATATGAATTCCATGTTGTACGAGTCACTTAGATTTTACAAATAGGTGAGCGTTCACAGCCTGGCACACGTATTTGTAAAATCTATGTGACTCGTACAACATGGAATACATATAAAACTAAATTATCGACAGTGTTATAGGACGGTCAACTGTATTTTTATGCACTATCGCACTACGAAACTTTTAAAGGCAAAAAGAGACTACACAGGGTAAAGAATTATCCTACAAATAAGATATACAATATATGTTTTACATTTTGTGTATGTGTACAGTTCTGTGTGTGTTTTCAACATGTCAGGAATGAAATATAAACACGTTACTCTTTCATTAAATGGAAAATTCGCAGNTAAAACTAGACACCAACAAATGCCGAAATTCTATCGGGCTAGTTTAAGGCTAATTACTAAATGAACCAATTACGTAACCAATTTGGCTCTAGAGGTAAACATTAGGCGCCATCTCGTATTAACATTAATAATTATAAATTAATTAATTAATTTAAATAATTTAGAATTTATATCGGGTCTAGCGATATTGTTTATATATTAATTCCAATATATATTTTCATAGCAAATTAGTTATGAGCAATCTTTTAAGAGAGTTGCATTTCGGAAGGATTTTCTATGAAAAACTGGCCCCTTTTCAGGTATTTAGACACGTGATCCGGAAAACTCCACGTGGCCAAGCTTGAATCCTCCACCATCTATGTTCAGTGGAATTATCCACTAATTTGCTGATAGGAAAAATATACTATTGGTATATCTTCTATCCTATCAGCTTATAGTCGATAACAGTTAGGTTTTCGACATCTTTCATAATTTACAATTGTCATAATTATTTGTAATTAGATAATATGAAACAATTATATAAACTTACCATAGGAAGAAAATTAACACCTCCAGGTCTACCAAATTCCTGAGTTAAAAAATTTTAAGTATGAAACTTAAATACAAATCATACATCAAAGATGACAAATTAATAAACGATGGTTTATTTAAAGTAATGAAGATAAAATATCACAAAAGTAGAAAGTAAGAAACTTAAAGGAAATACAGTAGAGCGTCGATTATCCGAATCAATTGGGGACTGGGGTTGTTCGGAAGATCGATGTTACGGATAACTGATTATGTGCGAAAAAATATATTAATTTATCCCATCTTGACATTTTTCTCCGTTGCGTGTCGCTTCGCGTTGAATTTTCGTCGATGTTAAGCCTAACGAAGACTATTGTATCGTTAAAAATTACTTTTTTATTTTGTACGAACAAAATATATATATTGAAAAATATAAAAACAATAAAAAATTATACTTCAGATGTTAATTTAGTATCAAAAACGTAAAATATTTGATTAGCCCAAGACATAGCCAAAGATTGCAGCGCTACAGCACTGGCGAAAATTTAAATTTGCCGACTGAAATTCTTTCGGATGATTGACGTTTCGGATGATTGACTTTCGGATAATCGACGCTCTACTGTAATTACAAAAAATACTAATAAATATTTTAAAGCATACTCGTATATATATATATATATATATTGTTTAACACATGAATTTCTCTATAATGTATTGTGTATCTCTTGTAACTAGAAGAATGTTTACACCATGTTCGCATTTGGTAAAACAAAATATAAATAGTTCTTATTATAAATCGAATATATTTTATTAATACATTTCTAACCCAATTTATTTAGAAAGAATTTCGTATAATAATTTGTATTTCAATTAATTTATCAAAGTTCAAAGTTCATTTGATTGTCGGGAATCGAAGTTTTCATAAATTTAATGCTCGTGATTTACATTAAATTGAGTGAAATAGTAATTTTTCATATAATAATAACATATTACAATAAATAAACTTCTTAACTTCTTACCCCGGGAAAAAAGCTATCATCTGGACTCTAAAATAAAATTTTCAAATATATAAATGCATCGAATACAGAACTAGATTTTAAATTATAATAGTTATTGAATTATATTCAGAAGATAAAATTAAATTAATTAAAGTTTATACTTACTCCAAAATTCATATTTCCACCGCAACCCTATACAAAAATTATAATAAACATTTTAAAATCTGTAAAAAATCAAACTTAATTAAAAAATTAATTAATAATTTTAGTTTACCACTTAAAGTACTCGTGTTACAAGCTGATAATTAATTAATATTACGAAAGATGATATGAAACAGAAAATATGTTGGTTTGTACGCCATGCAATGACATTCAATCCAACCTATTTTCTGTTTTGTGCACTCCCAACTGCCATATACTCCCAATAAATACTCCCAATCCCAAAAAGACATGGGGATTGGATTGCATGGCGTCACGTAGAATAAGAACAGGGAGACAATCAAGAGAGAAGACGGACTCTCTATAAATAATCGACTCATATTCGGCGGAGACACAGAGATCTTCCAGGTGCATAGATGCCATAATAAGCTCTGAAGGACCCCTCCGTACAAGTCGAGAAATAAGTTCGGAGATAGGCTAATCCCCATAAAAATCATTTTTCTTTAATTAAAATTTATAAAAATCAAATTCATATTTACTCGGCCATTTCCTCTGCAGCGCTAAATAAAAAAAGAAAAGAATTTAATTAATGTTGTTTGATAAAAATAAACAAAACCAGTAAAAATTAATTATATTAAATCGTGTGGCAATTTTAATTAATCATATTTTTAATTTATTTAATTATATACTCATCACATGAAATTAGTAGTGGCTTGTCCTGTATTTCTCCTTTAACAATAGAGTTGTGCCTTTATCTATCTAACTCCTTTTAGGGTATAAGTTTTCAATTAAAATAACGTAATTTCCGGTTTACATCGAAAGTTCTTATATAGTTAATCTAGGGCCTCCTGCCCCTAGTATTTCCATATTTGGTTTTGACTTTCATTTATCTAACTCCATTTTCGAAATTAAGGAAAGACAAACAGACGGTCAAACTGATGAGAGTGGGAATTTGTAGATCTACAATTTTTTTTTCAAATTGCAACTCAATTAAATTTATTTATTATTATTAGATCGATCAAATAAATAATCTCTCATACAACACGGTTCGAAAATTGGTGAAATCCCCTGTATAAAATGTCACAATTTTTAAGTGCAAACACTGTCCTCATTCTATATTTTTTTAAATATACAATCAAGCATGTGTGTTGTCTCATATTTGCCCTTAGATTTTAGAATATTAAAACACAAATGCTGTGATACGCTTCTGACATTCCATGTAGAGCAGTTTAAAGCTCGCAAGTTCGAGAAAAGACATGTATGTTCAACATCATAACAAACTAAAACGCTTAAAATATGGACACTGAAACAGATGAGATGAGGTATTTCCTCTACTAAGTTCATAGAAACATGAAAACAAAATTAATAAAACAAGTAAAAAGTAATGTTTAATTTTTCTTTGTCTCTTTGTGAGCTGTGGGCACTAAGAAGGCCTCTTTATAAGTACAGACATGCAATAGGATGACTGCATGGTGAGGTACGGGCCCCGATATATCCAGGACAAAATGGAATAAATGGGATTAATGGACTAAAGCAATGAATTACATGGGCGATCTGTTAATGGGGACTGCTCCCGGAAAGACTTTCTATGGGGAAACTGGTCCCTATTTAAGTGTTCTTCGCCTGGACAACCAATTATTGAGAAGTGAACCCGCAACCAAATACCAGTGTTTACTAGTTTTACCCTCGACCATTGATGGGTTCACTGATGGGGACAGACTTGACACGAGAAACTCCTGGTGTTTTGTCGATTGTTCTAATTTGATCACAAGTCTTCCAGACTGACGTCTTAATCGCTTCGGCCTTACAGCGATTTGTGGTTATTTAACGATTAATACATCGGCTATTTTATAAACAACTTGTCATTAAAATATAGAAACAGAGAATGATTTTATCAAGTTTAAGTAAGTATACTACAGGTTTTCATCTCAATATAACAAACGCATTAATTACTTACTTTTCCTTCTGGCTTTCTGCCTACAAAAATACACAATATCAAAATTTTATTTCAGTAAAATTTGGTAAAAATTGTTGTAAATAAAAAATTCAAACTTATTATCAAAGAATATACGAAAATTTAATAAATTATATCGAAAATTTTGTCCAAAATTTTATAGACTATCCTAATTTGTATTGCACTGTTTTTATAAAGAATACTATAAAATACAAAATATTGCTTACATCACTTTCAGAATAAATAATTATATTAAACAAAAGGTGCCTCTAAGTCACGCACCATAGGCAAACTGTATTGTAATAGGATAGTTTCCCCTGATGGACATGGGCCAGTAGAATGGCCCAAGTAGTCTGACCTCAAACCTGTGGATTTTTACCTGAGGGATCACTCGAACGCCCTCGTTTATGAACAAATAACCATTTCACGTATGGCCAGAATCACGTTGACATATCAGGCTGAGATCCCTGCCTAATTGAAAGTATATAGAATAATTGGATCATTCGTCTGAATCTCTGTGTGAAACAAGACGGCAATCACAGAACATATTTTGCTTATGGTGCAAAAGTTATGAAACACAATGACTAATGAACATATTATGAAAACATATACAAGAATATCTTTCACTAATAAGCGCATTTACTTACCCTGGGTAATACAGAGCGCAGTCATCAGTAAGAGTGCAAAGGATTTCATACTCTGGATCTTTCACTATTGTGTTGTGAAAGAGAAGTGGAGATTATATAAAGGCTTAAAACATGCGTAGGAATTTCACTGGAAATCGATTTCGTGTTCGCTAAATTAATTATAAGGTTACAATACTTCCTTAATCTTATTTACTGAACCTGATTACATACTGTACAACGTTAGATCTCCAATTACAATGGAGCAGGCGATTGTATTTTAAGGGAATGCATATATATGAAAGGTGATTTTCATAAGTTATTGGATAATAAATGAAAATAATACGAATAATAAAAATATAAATTTATTAATTTAAATTAATCTGAGTAATATCAAGCACGTGTAAATAAAACAGACGGGAAACAAACTAACCACATTTTTCTAGAGAAAAACTGTAATACTAGGAAAAAAATTTTATTGTAGCATTAGGATCATTTGTGCGTGCATTAGCAGGCTGGCACGTGTAGTTTTCTGGGTTTTTTCATTTGTTTAACATCTAAATAGGGAACAATTTCCCGTAGAAAGTTTTAATTGGAGGCATCTCCCACAGTACTCCATATGCTGTATTGACTTATTCCATAATTCCACGTTGTGTTTGAAAAGAAGGCCCTATTATTGCCCACAAGAGCAATAATAGGGCCTTTTTATAAATACGAATATTACAAGATTTCATTTCTGACTCTTTCCACCCTGCGGGCAACAAAAAGCCTTTATACTAGTGGGTTTGGCCAGGCCAATAATGGTGGGGCTGGAAGGCAGAGACAAATATTACATTAATCCCTTCATCAGCCTTAATTAAATTAATTTGTATTATAAACGAATTTGTAATATTACATACTTTATTTTCTTGACTTATGGACTTATATAGTAATGATTTAAAGTAATATCATTTATTAAAAAAATTAAATTGTTGCTTTTATATTCAATACATGCCTCAAACAATGGCCACCTGTTAAAAGCGGCCATATTCTCTCAGGAATGTTTCTGTTTGAAATACATATAAGATAACCTGCAAACAACGGTCAATTTTTGTGTTTTAGTTAGTGGTCGTTGTTTGCAGGTTTCACTGTGTATTTAATACTGTATAGTACATTATATAACGTCAAACACATACCATATATACACTATATTAGGAAAAATAGAAACTGAATTGATGCCATTCATTTAGTAATGTGTCATTTAGAACAGAGAAATAAAATACCGATTACAGTGGCTGATTGGTTAAGGAACACTTTCACGAAAGATTTTTATGTTCGGACAACGAACACTTCACAGAACAAACACAAGAAGATGAGACGTAAAATAATGATTACCGATTGGTCTTTCCATGTATTCAGGCAACAAAAAAAAACTTTTCTGGGCGTGGGAGACGTCGACATCGACTCTCAACCCAGTATATACTAATAGTATTCCTCCGAACTTTAAAACGCTCCATTGTAATTCCAGCCTTCTTTTATTTTTCTGACAGAAACAATTATTTTATAGTATTCGCGAGTCTGTCGGGCGGGCACTCGTTGAGTTTTGCGTTGGTTTTTATTTTCGAAAGATAGTATAATAATAGCAAAAAAGTAGAGAGCGGGCAGAAGATATCTGACGTTGCTGGGTGGTATGGCTTGAATATGTCTACAGTAGGCCGCAGTTCAATCTTATCTAAGAAAGATACAGTATAATCAAGAAGTCTCGAGCAGCTAAAGGAGTAACAAAAATCACATCTGAGAAATAAAAAACATTGAAGTGCTCATAATGGAACCTGAAACGGATCTGAACGCCAAGAAACTCGGTATGTTTTCTTCTGAAAAAGAGGATTAATGCCGATATCTGCTATTAAAGATCCTTAGAAGAAGTGGGAGGATGTCAACAACGGTCTTAGAATGGCATCCAAACTAGGTTGAGGCTTGGGTATCTCTACAATTACTATGCTATTAATTACTTCTGAAATATCTCGAAGCATAGAGAAAAGCAATCGGCATTAGTCAGACTCTTTAATCCCCAGAAACAGAAATAAACATGACTAATAAAAATGCAAGACTGTGTATACATGCATTTTTATTATTACATATAAATAAACGTAGTAAGAAAGTAAATATATTTTTTTTATTTTTTGGAATCACCAGAACGAATTAATCAAATACCCATAAAAACCTATGGTAAACCGATCACTCACTGTATTCTTTTAGTTTGTTGAACGAAAGCATGTAGCGCCATCTCCGAACACAAATAATTACTAAAATTCAGCGGAAATAAAAATTCAGAATTGCGAGTCGCCAAGCACCTGCTCGTCCGTCTGCAAGATATTAATAAACACATTCATCTTCGAGTAGAAAATAGAAGAAACGATAAAAATCACTCAAAAGTAGACACATAGAGCGGTTCCGAAAAAGTTATTGACGGCCGGGAATGGTGGCGCGTTCCTGTAATCAAGCTACTGGAGGCCGGAACCAGAGGACGACTCGAGGTTGGGAGAGAGCTTTCACGTTGCGCTATGTCGATCGGATGTCCGCACTGAGGGCCGCGTGGATATGGTGGTCAAGGGGGAACCCGGGGTTACCAGGTCGCCTAAGGAGGAGCGAACGGCCCAGGACGGAAACGTAGCAGGCAAAAGCTCCCGCGTGGTGCAGTAGTGGGATCGCATCCGAGAGTAGGTGGCGTGTTGGCGCCCATCCGATAAAGTTGGACCTGGTTCTGTTATTTTGTTTTTTTTTAAATTTTTTAGTAGACAATAATTTGCTTAGGGAGAAATTTGTTGGCGAGTTATCGATTGATATGCGAGAGGAGTCAAAGGAAAACGAGAAGTGATTAGCATTAAACATGCACCCATTTATGACATATATTTAAACTTTGTTTTCTTTTGCTGACGCTAAGATATAATGCAAATCACGATGCACACGAAACTAAATTTATCGAATAATCTGAGAATCGAGTCATCCATCCACACAGATGCTAAAATGCATGTACTGTATACGAAAAAGAAATTGAGGGAAAAAAATAGAACAGAACCAGGTCCAACTTTATCGGATGGGCGCCAACACGCCACCTACTCTCGGATGCGATCCCACTACTGCACCACGCGGGAGCTTTTGCCTGCTACGTTTCCGTCCTGGGCCGGTTCGCTCCTCCTTAGGCGACCTGGTGACCCCGGGTTCCCCCTTGACCACCATATCCACGCGGCCCTCAGTGCGGACATCCGATCGACATAGCGCAACGTGAAAGTCTTCTCCCAACCTCGAGTCGTCCTCTGGTTCCGGCCTCCAGTAGCTTGATTACAGGAACGCGCCACCATTCCCGGCCGTCAATAACCTTTTCGGAACCACTCTACGAGTCTACTTTTGAGTGATTTTTATCATTTCTTCTATTTTCTACTCGAAGATGAATGTGTTTATTAATATCTTGCAGACGGACGAGCAGGTGCTTGGCGACTCGCAATTCAGAATTTTTATTTCCGCTGAATTTTAGTAATTATTTGTGTTCGGAGATGGCGCTACATGCTTTCGTTCAACAAACTAAAAGAATACAGTGAGTGATCGGTTTACCATAGGTTTTTATGGGTATTTGATTAATTCGTTCTGGTGATTCCAAAAAATAAAAAAAATATATTTACTTTCTTACTACGTTTATTTATATGTAATAATAAAAATGCATGTATACACAGTCTTGCATTTTTATTAGTCATGTTTATTTCTGTTTCTGGGGATTAAAGAGTCTGACTAATGCCGATTGCTTTTCTCTATGCTTCGAGATATTTCAGAAGTAATTAATAGCATAGTAATTGTAGAGATACCCAAGCCTCAACCTAGTTTGGATGCCATTCTAAGACCGTTGTTGACATCCTCCCACTTCTTCTAAGGATCTTTAATAGCAGATATCGGCATTAATCCTCTTTTTCAGAAGAAAACATACCGAGTTTCTTGGCGTTCAGATCCGTTTCAGGTTCCATTATGAGCACTTCAATGTTTTTTATTTCTCAGATGTGATTTTTGTTACTCCTTTAGCTGCTCGAGACTTCTTGATTATACTGTATCTTTCTTAGATAAGATTGAACTGCGGCCTACTGTAGACATATTCAAGCCATACCACCCAGCAACGTCAGATATCTTCTGCCCGCTCTCTACTTTTTTGCTATTATTATACTATCTTTCGAAAATAAAAACCAACGCAAAACTCAACGAGTGCCCGCCCGACAGACTCGCGAATACTATAANACATCTGACTACCCGGCATAATTGGTGTCTGCTCCATTTTCATTTTTTATGGTACAGTACGGTTATTTTATGCTGCGGAACGAATTATATGTTTTAACATGTATTTCTATGGGAAAATGCGTTTCGTATAACGGACGTTTCACTTAACGGACGTGCACCTGGAACGAATTAAGTACGTTGTACGAGGCACCACTGTATTATATGCTGTATATATTTTACAAGTAAAGCTTGGTTATATTACAATATGTTTTTGTTTTAGTTGGACGTTTCATATTAACAGATACCGCATAAATTTGTGTATTTTCGAACACAAGCATGCCTATCCTTATATATCAATTCATATCCTCCCCCATAAAAAGCTATTGTTTACTATTAAATAGTTTAAATTCTTAAGTAAACTAAACTTTTCAAATATTCGTAGTTAATGTGAAATTATAATTTTAAAAAGTCAACACACCTTTATAAAGTTAAAGAATCTGAGTGTTTATTGAAAAATTAATTAATAATTTTAGTTTACCACTTAAAGTACTCGTGTTACAAGCTGATAATTAATTAATATTACGAAAGATGATATGAAACAGAAAATATGTTGGTTTGTACGCCATGCAATGACATTCAATCCAACCTATTTTCTGTTTTGTGCACTCCCAACTGCCATATACTCCCAATAAATACTCCCAATCCCAAAAAGACATGGGGATTGGATTGCATGGCGTCACGTAGAATAAGAACAGGGAGACAATCAAGAGAGAAGACGGACTCTCTATAAANCAGATACCGCATAAATTTGTGTATTTTCGAACACAAGCATGCCTATCCTTATATATCAATTCATATCCTCCCCCATAAAAAGCTATTGTTTACTATTAAATAGTTTAAATTCTTAAGTAAACTAAACTTTTCAAATATTCGTAGTTAATGTGAAATTATAATTTTAAAATCATATCCTAAAATATATAAACAAATACATGGTTTAATTACTAACTAAAAATCATTGAATTTTACTACTAAATTTTAATTGTATTTAATTTATTGTGTTCTTTAATTCAGTCATTGAAATCTAACAACTCTAACTCAGAGAAACTCTGACAGAGAAACCTTTAAATATGTTTAAAGTATTTTATTACGTTTTTACTGTATATAGTAAACTTCATAATAAAAAATCCAGAAACGAGTTGCTTAACTTTCCCGGTAAGAGATTTAAAATTGTGTTTGGTACCATCTGTTATTACAAAATTAGATTGTAAACTATATTTTGAATGAAATTTCAATTATATTAATTTTATTATCCTTTCTTAAACCTATGAAACCAGAAAAACATGGCATACAGAGAACATCAACAACTTATTGATACATTAAAAATGTTAAAGTGTTACCAAGCTGGGCTATTTGAAAGTTATTATAGCGTCTGATTACAACACTTTCGTGTGTTTTCAAACCTGGAAACCAAATGTAAAAACTAAAATTCTTTGACGTCACAATTTTTTTAAACGAAACAGAACAAAACGAATTTGCTTTATCGTGAAAAATAAAAAAATATATAACTTTTATAAGAGTCTGTGTACATTTTGCTACATCTCTATGAATTAAATGCCGTACTTAATTGTTGGATAGAGGAGCCCAGGAGGTCCGGATTCTCTTTCTTTTGTAAATAAATAAATAAATAAATAAGCCGGAGGTTCGCTTACAGTTAACCGGGTAGGCCGGCCCGCAAATTTCTGTTTAAATAAATCGTTTTTTTAAATATTTATTAAGTTTTTTGCATTAAAAACTACTTTAATCCTTTTATGATAGTTTATTACTCTCAATATCACTTAATCGTTTTGTAAAACTAACGTTCATAGATGGAGAAAACGTCAAACTAATGTACATTTACGCAGCTTATTTAAAAATTATAATAATTAAGAATGTTTTTCTCACAAAATGCTTTCTGTTTTCAGTGTAAACATTTATTAATTTAAATTTCATATATATAGAGATACCCTAAGATCGTCATCCCCTTCTAAATAGAATTCTTAATTGCATCTGAAGATTACAACTATCTACGTTTATGTAAATTTGGCATTAAAAAAGTTTCATAAAAATATACTCAATTCATAGAGGAAGTGGTATTATATTATAGAATAAATGTTGCTATTTTCAATTTAAAGAGGTGTCCAAGATTTAGTGATTCGGAATTTTAATGTATTGGAGCATTCACTAATAAAGAATCTGAATGTTCGTGTTCATATAAACATTGCACGTACACGTACTGTACATATAATAAATAAGCACTAAAAGATTATGTAATTTATTTATTTTATAATATATTTAATAATACAAACTTCAATATCGAATATGTTAATCCATAATAAATTCTCTGCTTACANTTTTTTAAATATTTATTAAGTTTTTTGCATTAAAAACTACTTTAATCCTTTTATGATAGTTTATTACTCTCAATATCACTTAATCGTTTTGTAAAAGTGACATTCATAGATAAAAAAAAAACGAACATAGTGTAAACATTTATTAATTATGAATTTTATATAGAGAGACACCCAGAGATCGTCATCCCCTTCTAAATCGAATTCTTAATTTTAATGTATTGCAACATTCATTAACAAAGAATCTAAACGTTCTAAAACTTGCACATGTACGTAATAAATAAGCATTAGAAGACTATGTATTTATTTTAATTATAGTATATTTAATAATACAAACACTGATATCGAATATGTTAATCCATAACAAATTCTACTCTTATATAGAAAATGAAATAAAACATTAATAATTTTATATTTAAGCATAAAAACATGTCGGTCTGCAATGTAATATCATTTATCGTTACGTCACGTCGAATCTTCATTTCTGCGAATGGCAACGAATAAAATAAACCTTTCCAATTGTACCATTCCACTCCATCGCCAAATGAATCATGAGGGCCATTCAAGTACAGACCGTTCAAATTTGAATCGAAGCATTTGTTATACCACCAACCACCTTTGTAGCGATTGGCACAATTATTTGGAGATTCGTCGTTGTCTTTATCAAAAGTACTAAATTTTATTCCATTATGATGCAGTGTTAATGAATCACCTAAAAGAAAACGAGTGGATACTTGAATGTCTGTAGTTATATTAGAAATACGTCGTTACATGATAAGGGATTCCAAGTGCAGTTAAAAAGTATATAGGTCTACTATAATCGGGCAAAGAATCTGAAACTCACCAGCATTTCCGCTGTATCCCGAAACATGCAGCTGAAACATTTGTTGGTTATTTCCAATTTTGAACTGCTTATATTGAGCGTATCGACTATTTCCTTCTGTGTCTTTCATATCAACTCTAAGGGAATAACTACCTTGGTTGGTTAGAACGTGCAATTTCTCATTACCTAAAATCAGATTTTAAATTAAAACTTACATCTTACTCTTTTATCTTAAATATATTTAAAATTTTTATTTAAATTTATGATATTTACCTAACCAGAAATCTTCATCCAAATTTCCAAATCCTCGTGAGTATTCCGTCCAATTTTTTAAGAAATAATTTTGAGGATGTCCAAAATCGCCTCTTCTCTGAAACACCTGAAGATTTCTTTTTATAAAACTAACAATAATTTATTAAATATTTTCATATTTTCTTATCTTACCGTCCATCCTCCTCCGTCAGTTTCCATGTCGCAATATACATTGAAATTAAGTTGAGTTGTGCCATTCAAAGGCCATATCTCGTAAATGCCCGATTTACTAACCCCGCTATTTTTTATCTCAGTACAATCCTTATATTTAGCAACAACATTTGGAATAATTTCATATTCGGGGGTGATATTAATATGGTTTTCTTTTGATAACTGTTCTAAGACTAATGATTACATTTGCAACGGTTAATACTTTGTAAAATAAATCAAAAAAACGAACAAAAACAACTTACGATTGTGGATAATTTCGTCAATTATCTTCAGTTTAAACTTAATATACGAGTTAAGCTCTTCGCCTGTAACTTGTTCTGAATAAAACACAAACAAGGCACACAAATAGTAGTGCATTACTCTCATGTTGAAAAGTTAGATTCGGACTTCCTTATCACAAAAAGTACTGCATTACTTATATCGGAAAACGAAAGGAAAGACAAGAACGGCTGTTGATAAAGATATCAAAACACTGAATTTTTTACGAAACTATTACATAATAAAGTTAAGAGTTAGTTTTAAAATAAAATATATTTTAAAATATAAACTTAAATGTTTATGTTTTAATAACTAAAACCCTCACATTTTATCTATACGAGAAACTTTTACTTTAAATTAATATTAATATTAGATAGTGTATAATATATATTATATAATATATGCTGTGTACTTGTACATGTGTTATCAATATTATGTAAAAATTTTCCTTACAAAGAAATGGTGAAGTATCGTCATTGGCCGGATGGGCGAGGCGGTTAAAGGTGTGAGCGTAACTCTTCGGGATATTTCCTTAGAGACGTAACTTTTACACTTAACCAGTCTAATTTAAAGATATAGTGACATCAGAATTGAAGAATTCTATTATATTTACCTAAAGTATTTCTTAATATAGAATCTAAACGTTGGTGTATAAATGAAAAATGCATTGGCAAATTATATTATGTATTTATTTTGTAATGTATTTCATAACAAAATAAAAATTTTAACACAAAAATATCAAACATAATAATCCTTTATTTATTTTCTTATACAGGAAATAAAATGAAAAAATAATAGTTTTATGTTGAAACATAATTATGTTTTATTATCAGTTACGTCGAATCTTCATTTCTACGAATGGCAACGAATAATTCACACCTTTCCAATGGTGCCATTCCACTCCATCACCAAATGAGTTATGAGGGCCATTCAAAAACAGTCCATTCAAATTCGAATCGAAGCATTTGCTGTACCACCAAGCACCCTTGTAAATATTAGCGCAATTATTTGGAGATTCGTCATTGTCTTTATCAAAAGTACTAAATTTTCTTCCATTATGATTCCGTGTTAATGAATCACCTGAAATATTATTTTACATAAGGAAATGACATTTTTCTTTATATAAAAAAGTATCTATATATATATAATCGATATGGTTTGATAATAATAATAATAATAAACGCATAGACTAACGGTTAGAAGTTGAAAGTTAAAATTTGTTACAATTAAGGTATAGTACGTCATGAGAATGTACACTAAGAAGGGATTTTTTAAACCCCTCCGCGAAGGAGAGGGAGTGGATCAATAATTACTCTGAAAAACTCGGGTTCTACTGTATTATTTTATATGCTGCGTTTTGCATTTTTTCGGAAATTCGGACTCATCTGCTAATTTGCATACACTTAAGATAATGATTGAGATGTCTATCATAATGGATACTAAAATATATCTAATTATCTTGGCCAGCGCTTATTCTAACACGCAACTAGACACGAAATGTGTAATGAAAACTTTGTATCGTTCATAGGAATCTGCGCAGTAATTGAGTGTCTGATTCTGAATTTTATAAGTATTTAAAGGTAAGTTAAAATATTTACCTAAATTACTAAGTATACGGTAAAATCAATCTAAAACGGATCCAAGAAAATAAAGAAATCTAGCCTAGTTTTACTGGATATTTTATTCGGCCCAGGAATAACCTACTGAATGTTAGTAGGATTTAGGGGAGATCGGGGCAAGATCGGCATGTTATGCTTTACTTAAATTTTGTGTAATAAATACTGCTGCAAACTGAAAAAAAAGCTTTGCATATTGTCTATTGGAATGTTACCTTACTATAGAACTGGTTAAAATCAGTTTGGAAATAAAAATAATTAAAATAATTACAACTTTACAAGAAGAGAGAAATTGACGAAGTTGCCCCGGGTATAGGGGCAAGATCGGCAACTTCTCTCTTTTTGTAAAGTTGTAATTATTTTAATTATTTTTATTAAAGTTGCCCCTGGTATAGGGGCAACAGTAATGGGGCAAGATAGGCACGTATATAAAATTATGTTATTAACAATGTATAAGTTGGAATTCACTATTAAAACAAAGAAATACAAATCCAACACCCATTTAATATTATTACAACGAAATGCAAGTTCAAAGACATATATACATGAATAACAAATGCAAACATGTTTTCATTTATCATCTGTTTGATTTTTATCCTTTGCTTCTAATGTGGCTTTATGTTGCCGATCTTACCCCGCTAGTCATGATTTCGAAACATTAAGTACAACCCTGAGAACAGAATGCCAAGCCACGATCTGGCCACGTGAATAAGTTGAAGTTACATCCTTCTAACAGGAAAAGTAACTTTCGTTATCATGGAATTATAACAAAACCTGCCAATTCAATATAAATGGAAAAAAAATATTATATGGAATTGAACGAAAATGAAAATTTGCTTGATAATTCAACTACGCTTGTTGGAGAACAATAAAAACACTACACTCAACAAGCCACCAATAAAACTCAACTGCCTAACCTATAACCAAAGTCTCCTTTTAATTTGTTTTTTAAAAAAAGCGCTTGACAAACTTGCCCCGCATGCCGAAGTTGCCCCGATCTCCCCTATTACTGTATTTGTATCGAATATATACAATAGATATTTATTTATTTATCATTATTTAAACTATAATAAGCAATCGTTGAGCACGTATTGTATAGTAAATTACATCGTGCAGTGTCCCATGTCAAACGATTAAGATTCAACGGTCATTGAAATTAAAATAATGATACAGATATAAGATTTGCTATTGTCCTTATTTTCAATTTACGTGTTTTAAAACAGCTTATTAACTTCAGAATTTAACTCTAGAAAAAATCTTACCCTATGACCTGATCTTAGCAACACACCGTTTAAACAACGCCTTCAACGGCTTAGAGGCGTTGTTTAAAACTGTGCACTTTAGTACGGGAACCTTAAACACACAAAACTCACCAGCATTTCCACTGTATTCCGAAACATGCAATTGGAACAGTTGTTGGTTATTTCCAATTTTGAACTGCTTATATTGAGCGTATCGACTATTTCCTTCTTTGTCTTTCATATCAACTCTAAGGGAATAACTACCTTGGTTGGTTAGAACGTGCAATTTCTCATTACCTAAAATCAGATTTTAAATTAAAACTTACATCTTACTCTTTTATCTTAAATATATTTAAAATTTTTATTTAAATTTATGATATTTACCTAACCAGAAATCTTCATCCAAATTTCCAAATCCTCGTGAGTATTCCGTCCAATTTTTTAAGAAATAATTTTGAGGATGTCCGAAATCGCCTCTTCTCTGAAACACCTGAAGATTTCTTTTTATAAAACTAACAATAATTTATTAAATATTTTCATATTTTCTTATCTTACCGTCCATCCTCCTCCGTCAGTTTCCATGTCGCAATATACATTGAAATTAAGTTGAGTTGTGCCATTCAAAGGCCATATCTCGTAAATGCCCGATTTACTAACCCCGCTTTTTTTTATCTCAGTACAATCCTTATATTTAGCAACAACTTTTGGAATAATTTTATATTCGGGTGTGATTTTAATGTGGTTTTCTTTTAATAAGTGTTCTAAGACTAATAATTGCATTTGCAACGATTAATATTTTGTAAAATAAATCAAAAAAACGAACAAAAACAACTTACGATTGTGGATAATTTCGTCAATTATCTTCAGTTTAAACTTAATATACGAGTCGAGATCTTCTCCTGTAACTTGTTCTAAATTAAACAGAAACAAGGCACACAAGTAGAAATGCATTGCTCTCATATTGAAAAGTTAAATTCAGACTTCCTTACTACTGAAAGTACTGCATTACTTTAATAGGAAAACTAAAGGAAGGACAAGAATAGCTGCTGATAAAGATATCAGAAAACTGAATTTTCTAAGAAAATATTACATAATAAAGTTAAGAGTTAGTTTTAAAATTGAATATATTTTAAAATATGAACTTAAATATTTATGTTTTAACTAGCAGGTGGGCCCGGCGTTGCTCGGGCAAAAGTAACGATAACTAAGATAAATATTATTACGTTACAGCCTTATCCGTTTTCACAGAATGCAAGAATTGCATTCTGTGAAAACCCTTAGAGAATTTTTAGATGGGTCTAAAAATATGTTCGATTTCCCGCAAAAACGAAAAAACTGCATCTGCGTATCGCACGTCGCTTTCTCTTAACAATTCCATTGTTACGTAAGATTTCCATTGTTGACACTTCCATTGTTACTTAAAACTTTTATTGTTACTTAAAACTTCCATTGTTACTTAACACTTCCATTGTTACTTAGCACTTCCATTGTTACCTAACACCGCCATTGTTACTTAACACTTCCATTGTTGATGGAAGTGTTAAGCCTTAATCCTGTCTTTCTCCCCCCGGGAGGAATTTCGAAAAATCCCTTCTTAGTGTGCGTTTTCGTGACGTACCCTAACTGTGTACCAAATTTCAGCTTCCAACTCCTAACCGTTTGGGCTCTGCACTTATTATTATTTTCATCAACCCGTCTCGATTATATTATAGATGACTAAAACCATCATTTTTTTATATGTACGAAAAACTTTTACTTTAAATTAATTTTAGTATTAAATAGTGAATATATAGTATATAATATATATTATATAATATATGCTGTGTTCGTGAACACGTGTTATCAATATTACGTAAACGTTTTTTGCAAAGAAACGGCGAATTTTTCTCACTTACTGGATAAATTGAAATGCTAAAGGTTTCAGAATAACTCTTCGGATACTCCGGACAATCGTAAAACTGGAGGAATCTTTTGGGTTTTTTCTTTTCGTACCTTCACCACTCAACCGCTTTATTGTGGATTTTGCCAAACTTAAGATGGACTTCCAAGGAAAATCCACAAGAATACAAAGTGATTTTGCTTTGTATATTTCTGGGGCTCTCAATGGCGTGAGGCAACACGGACAATGTCATACCCAACTTTTAGATAGAGGAAACCAGGGAGCTCGTACTCTCTCTTAATTTTGTAAATAAATAATGAAAAAAAAATCAAATAAGTACAGAATAAAATTTGAATGTGACAATCGTATAAACAATATTTAAGAGTCTACCCACAGCAGCAGTGGCTACGTTAATGTATATGAAGGAGTTAACATAAGTTTTCACATTCTAATTCGTGACTACAATTTTTAATTATCTTTTCACTTCAAAATAACCACGTGACTTTCGGTCTACGCCGGAAGTTCGCTTACAGTTAATCGGGTAGGTCAACCTTGAAGCTTTTCATATCGCTTCTGAATATTATTAGTGTCTTACCACTGTACTGTACATCAGACTTTTCCTCGTAACACTCGAATCATGCCGGTCACATGTCTGACTTCTAATTAAAAAAATTTTGAATTGAAATTACGTAACTTCCCATCTAGACCGGATGTTCGGATAAATATAGGTTATCCGGGCGTACGATTCCGAAGCTTCCCATATATGGCCTGGATTTTCATCTAACTCTGTTATCGAGTTTAACAAAGAACAGAGCGACAAAGCGATGATGTACAGGTATGCAATTTTCAAATTGCAGCACAATAAGGGCTGCAGATTTGTTATAATTTACCATCAGTTTGTGTCTATATCACAATAAAAATACAAAACAAAATTATGTTTTTAGTTTTTTATTTATATCAGATTTTAAATAAAACATCATATATTTGAGTTTGTTTTCGCTTTTTTTGTCTTATTTAAATAACTGGTTACTCGCAATACAATTAATTAAATCGGTATTTAAAATTCTGATTTACAAAAATTCCATCATAAATTTGTTTACTTAAAACAAAAATACAATAATGTGAACAAAATAATGTTATTTGCGCTTGTTTTTTTTTTTTATTTTTATAGAAATTAAATACTGTTGTAGCTTCCGTTGTAAAAATTCTATTCAAATAAATCGCTTCTTTATTAATTTCTTGGTGTTTTTTTTTTTTGTATTAAAAGTTATTTTCATCCTTTGATAATAGTTTATTCCTCGCAATATCACCTAATCGTTTTGTAAAACTAACGTTCATAGATGGAGAAAACGTCAAACTAATGTACATTTACGCAGCTTATTTAAAAATTATAATAATTAAGAATGTTTTTCTCACAAAATGCTTTCTGTTTTCAGTGTAAACATTTATTAATTTAAATTTCATATATATAGAGATACCCTAAGATCGTCATCCCCTTCTAAATAGAATTCTTAATTGCATCTGAAGATTACAACTATCTACGTTTATGTAAATTTGGCATTAAAAAAGTTTCATAAAAATATACTCAATTCATAGAGGAAGTGGTATTATATTATAGAATAAATGTTGCTATTTTCAATTTAAAGAGGTGTCCAAGATTTAGTGATTCGGAATTTTAATGTATTGGAGCATTCACTAATAAAGAATCTGAATGTTCGTGTTCATATAAACNGTATTCTGGTCACTATCTCTGGTCTCTCATCTCTAGCAAACCGGTCGCTGATTGGCTAATCCAAATGATTAGCCAATCAGTGACCGGCTTGTGAGAGACGAGAGACCAGAGACGGTGACCAGAATACAGCCCCTGACCTCTTCGGAAATAGTGTCGAAGACTAAAAGCTTAAATACGACTGACTCTGCCTTTGAGGTTAGACGGTGGAAAGAGAAATTCTTGAGGTAAAACAGAGTAACTGCAAAAAAAGAACTTTGTAGAGAAACAAACCCTAGTAATCAGAAGGTGAGATTATGTATTTCCAATTTCCAATGCCTATAAACTTTTAATGCGCATACGTTTAGAAATTTAAAAAATAAGCTCATTTGATAACGTTTTTATTTTGCGTATTTGCATTATTTTAAAATTAATAATTTTATATTTAAACATAAAAACACATAGGTATATAATATCATTTATCGTTACGTCGAATCTTCATTTCTGTGAATGGCAACGAATACTGTATACCTTTCCATTTGTGCCATTCCACTCCATCGCCATATGATTTATGAGGACCATTCAAGTACAGGCCATTCAAGCTTGAATCATAGCAGCTATTATACCACCAAGCACCTTTATAATACTTAGCGCAATTGGTTGATGAAGCTTCGTCATTGTCTTTATCAAAAGTACTAAATTTTCTTCCATTATGATGCACTATTAATGAATCACCTGGAAAAAAGTGATATAAAATTATTAAGATAATAAAATTATACAAACAATAATACAATATTAAACACATATATAATCCAAGAGATATTTCGGTTTCATGAGTTAATATTTTAATTAATGTCTGTACTTAGGGGAGATCGGGGCAACTTCGGCNCTTTTGGAATAATTTTATATTCGGGTGTGATTTTAATGTGGTTTTCTTTTAATAAGTGTTCTAAGACTAATAATTGCATTTGCAACGATTAATATTTTGTAAAATAAATCAAAAAAACGAACAAAAACAACTTACGATTGTGGATAATTTCGTCAATTATCTTCAGTTTAAACTTAATATACGAGTCGAGATCTTCTCCTGTAACTTGTTCTAAATTAAACAGAAACAAGGCACACAAGTAGAAATGCATTGCTCTCATATTGAAAAGTTAAATTCAGACTTCCTTACTACTGAAAGTACTGCATTACTTTAATAGGAAAACTAAAGGAAGGACAAGAATAGCTGCTGATAAAGATATCAGAAAACTGAATTTTCTAAGAAAATATTACATAATAAAGTTAAGAGTTAGTTTTAAAATTGAATATATTTTAAAATATGAACTTAAATATTTATGTTTTAACTAGCAGGTGGGCCCGGCGTTGCTCGGGCAAAAGTAACGATAACTAAGATAAATANATTGAATATATTTTAAAATATGAACTTAAATATTTATGTTTTAACTAGCAGGTGGGCCCGGCGTTGCTCGGGCAAAAGTAACGATAACTAAGATAAATATTATTACGTTACAGCCTTATCCGTTTTCACAGAATGCAAGAATTGCATTCTGTGAAAACCCTTAGAGAATTTTTAGATGGGTCTAAAAATATGTTCGATTTCCCGCAAAAACGAAAAAACTGCATCTGCGTATCGCACGTCGCTTTCTCTTAACAATTCCATTGTTACGTAAGATTTCCATTGTTGACACTTCCATTGTTACTTAAAACTTTTATTGTTACTTAAAACTTCCATTGTTACTTAACACTTCTATTGTTACTTAGCACTTCCATTGTTACTTA